AGCATGAAGCCTTTAGCTTTTTGGTACACCACACAAGGCTTTGACGTTTGCGTCTCAGATGCACGTCTGCGTGCGGCGAGGCCACTGTGTGAGGGGCCTAAATTAGCACAAGTCCAGCTATGTTAACAAAATGAAAATCCAATTATACCCGTTAATTAACCCACGAAACTCGTTCCCAAGGAGCTGCTCTGTCTGTTCTACACGCTGACAGATAGGAACATCTAATCTGACGTTGCATTATTGATGCCTGATGTTTTCTGCGGGCCGGCTCGGGCCCTGTGTCCTCCACACCTCGTAATCAAGCATAATTGAGGTTAACTGTACGGTACGGCTGAAAGGCTAGACAGGTACGCCTCAGCCTCTCATGATTAATGTAGTGTGTTAGTGCTCCGGGCTCTGACCTTTTGAGATAGGCCAGGCACCATTTTTAAGTGAAAGCTCTGCCTCTGTTGAGTCGCACAGTTGTCCATCAAGTCCTCCCTTTACCCACATCAGCTCCCCTCTCTGAGTGTGATCCTCGTCCTGCTGCCTCAGTGTCCCTGACCTGACTGTTTGTCCGCATGTCTCATTTTACAACACCAACCAGTTTTTATACACGTTTTAAATTAGCTAACCTTTTGGATGTTATTCTGGGCTCTCCTGCAGCTGATTTACAGTTTCATTCTCCTTTTTGGTTCCGTCGTCCAGACCTCTGAATGCCATTGTCTGGCCCCCGCTGGTCAGCGACCCTCCCTCTGATCTCCACAGGCCTGTATCGATGTAAACTGGCAGCGAGGTCATGTTCTGGCCTCGCTCTCAAACATAACCTTTGTCAGAGTTAACTGAGCAAATTTACTTTTGACTTGAGCTCATTCAGACCCTAACACCACACTTACAGGCCCACAAAAAAATATGGACGGCGAGCATACAAGAAAACAATGTTTCTTTACATTGGGACTCTTAGGAGATTCTGAAGGTGTGCTTGTTAATCGGGGATGTTGAGGACCCGGGTCACCATCCATAACATAGACCAGGGGCAGTAAATGGATGAGGTGGGGCGAAAGGGCACCCTTAGACATTCCTTTAGAAAATAAACAGAACAAAAACCAGCTTCTCTGGACAGGTATTCTAAAGCAGATCTATCAATTTCAGCTGTTGCTGTTTTCAGGGTCGCTAAATATGCTTTAATGATGCGTCCGTAGACTCCCCAACAGAACATAAATTACTTTTCTGTGGTACAAAACTTAGAGCTTGGTCTCCAGCACAATCGATGCAAGCTGGCTTCGTCCTCACATTTCAAAAGCCCAGTTGGGAATGAGTTTAATGCAATTAGCAGGTTATCAGTGGTGAAGCGGGGCTCTCTTCCTGTTTGGCCTGACAGAAGGGAGAGCTAGCTGTCTGTTGCGCCACAGAGGAAGACGCGGAAGAAGAGATAGGCAGATGTCCTGATAGAGGAAAACATCTGACTCTATTGTCACCCCACTCAAAGTTTACAGCCTATTTTAGGCTTAATCTCAATGTGCCTCCAGATTTACTCACTCTTTTCTTCAAGAAAGATTCCTTAAATTGAAGCGACCTCTGGCATTAGGCCACAAGCAAGTGTATTTAATGTTAGGCCTGCCTTTATGTTAGAGCCAGTGGTTTAAAGAAAGGCAGCAGTAGGGGTCACTTCAGGCATCTGCTTCTCCTGCAGCACGCAGCTGCCCACGCCGCTGTCCTTCTGTCCACTCAAACACACAAACCTGGGGGACACACACCCTTAAAGCATAAAACCGTGAGCACATGTCCACATTATAATCAGTTGAGGCTGTGTGATTGAAATTCCTCTGAAGCACCACTTTGAGCCAGCGTGGCTGAAAGAAGCTGTCAGGTTTTGTTATAACAGAAACTGGAATCTGAAAACGATAACTGGAGGAACTTTGTGAAACTAAAAAGAGAGCAGAGTCCTGTCAGAGATACAAAAAGTCACCAAGTAATAAAGTTATTGTTGGATTTTTATCAGTAGAGGCTGAGTTGCCATTTTGTGTATAAGTTGGAATTAACTTTTATCTATTAAAATAGCTTTTTGAACAACCTTGTTTTGGATAAAAATTGGGTTATGGCTTATAAGATTGATGAGCTAACAGCTAGTTCAAACGCTGGCAAGACCAGTGTATTTCTGCCATCTTAAAACAACTCCAGTCTCCTAAATTTCACAATGAGTATTTGAACTATGTTTAATAAATAATTGCAACACTGGTAATTTACATTATGCAGTGATTTTCTTGGAATTATATGGTCGTTTTCAGCAACAAAACGTGGCACTTTCGTTGTATCAAAGGGTCGAAGTTCAGCTGAAATTCACTTGAATAATCATTTCATCAATATTAACCAAAGAATAAGTGTTTATGAAATGTTGTTGCACAAACTGCTGACGTTTATAAAATGTGAGCCATTTTTATATTCCAGCAACATCCTAGCTGTTAGCTCATCAATCCTGCAGGATGTAAACTATGGGAACTGAGGCAGCTGTTGAAGCTATCTACAGTTGGTCAGATTGTATAATGATTTATAACATTTACATCAAAATTATATCAAGAATTCTCAAAAAAATCCCTTTAAATACGATTTGAATCATCTCTTTGGTGCTCTTCTGCTTCCCTTTACCCCCTCATGATAATTTCTCTGTTCCCTAAGAAGCTCTCACACCGATCATCGGGATGATTAACGCCTTCCCTCACACCGGTGAGGACATCACTGATAACAGAGCCGTTACGGCTTCTTCTTGGGTGCTCCCGGTTGTTTTCACAAGGAACAACACCTTGTAGAGCTCCACTCATTCAGAGTCCGAAGAGAGCCTCCACACAGATGTGGGGTGTCAGGACTATTTGTGTTATACATTCTCCACATTTCTCCACGTTTCTGATGAAAAGAACCTCTCTTTTTGTCAGTTTTGGTTAGCTTAGACTAATATATATTAGGGCTTGGATTCAAATAAACACAACACTACTTTTTTCCTCCTTTTCATCCTTCCTTGGTGTGGACGGAAAGACAATGCAGGAGTTGGGATGAAGAACTTTATTGGAACGCTGGGCTTCAGCGTGAGGGATTGAAGCTGCTAAACAAAGCATTCCTTTCCCTTTCATCACCATTTAACTGTTCCCTCCGCAATCAGTCCCACCTCCAGGCCAGTGCCCAGCCGAGCGGGGAACTTGTCAAATAAAAATAAATCAAAAGTGAAGGTTTATTCCGCACATTTACTGCTGGTTGCTTGGGAATTTGCACAAACAGCATTGACGAAAAAGTATGATCTGAGCCAAACGGACCTCACGTTGGTGCTTCCTGCTGTGAAGATGCAGGAGGCAGAGATAGAACGGCTTGTGGTCCCACAGCGATGTCGCCCGGAGGGCCATGTGGGCACAATGGTTGTCATGTCAGCGATGTGCAGCGGCTGCTTAAGAGTGCACTTAGCATCCTCTGTTTCCCCGTATCCAACATGTTGGGAGTGACATGATACTGTACAAAAGCCTGAACAGCATATAACATTTCAAAGCAATTTTATAATTGTTTCCAGGCTCAAGGTCGCAGCTTATATGGAAGCAATCCCTTCTTTTAAACTTTTTTTTTTTTTGAGGCTTTGTTTTCTACCACAGATTGAGAAACATTAAAGTGCTAAGTAAACTTGACCCAGGCGCTGCAAATTCATTGGGAAATAGCTGGGGTTTTATACATTTGGTGCCGTATCAGTGACAGTGACTCAGAGGATTTCCTCCTGCTTGGATGCTCGCCATATGTTGATGTGGCTTCTGTGGTTTCAGCCCTGAAACAGCCAGTCGCTGAATAATTACATTTGTTGTCTATGATGAGAACATGTTTGTGAAGGAAGGGGTGACAACAGAGTGGGTCTGACCTGAGGGCGAAGGTGGATGAGCTCCAGATGTATGGTGGACCTCTAAAAACATTTGGAAAAAAGAATGTGGGCTTCTTTCTTGATGACACTTTTAGGAGATCCGGTAGAAAAATAACTTCCTACTAGCTTTTCTGTCCTTCATATAACAACGATGGAAAAAAGGCATCCTGTTCTTTTGGGTTGGTGGTGCCAAATGGGCTGGTCTGTGTTTCAGAACTGATCTAGGATTTTAACCAACAACCATCACTGTAATTTATAGAGTGTGGTCTGGGGAAAAAAGGAAATATTCAATATACAGCAGATGTCTTGTTGAGGTGAGAGGAGACTGGTCAGATGATAGAAAAACAACAGCAGCACAGATAACTACTGGTTCCTACCAAAGTCTGCTAAACCAAAACACCTGGCTCCAGCAGCAGAAGACCACACCAGGTGTGTATCCTGTTAGCTACAGAAAACTGAGGCTACAATTCACACGATCAGCAGAACTGGACCAGAAGAGACTGGAAACCCGTTCCTGGTCTGATGAGTCTGGATTTAAGATGAAACACTCAGATGGTCGGGTCAGAATTTGGTGTCAACCACATTAAAGCATGGATCCATCCTGCCTTTTGTATTAATGCTTCAGACTGCTGCTGGTGAGGGATGATGGTGTGAGGAGATATTCTTGTCCCACTTTGGACCCCCTAGCATCATCTGAGCCTGGTTTAAGCACCACAGCCTATTCCATCCCTTTACGACCACATGGACCCATCTACTAATGGCTACTTCCAGCAGGATAAAGCACCATGTCACAAAGCTCAGATCATCTGGTTTCTAGAACATGATCATGAGTTCCCTGGACTCCAACAACCTCCACAGTCACCAGATCTGAGTCCAGCTCAGAACCCTTTGAGATGTGGTAGAATGGGGGAGATTCCCACCATGGATGGAGCTGATGAACCAGAACGTCTAAAGAAGGTTTCAGATGTTTATTTGAATCTATGGCATGAAGGATTAAGATGGTTCTGAAGGCAAAGTGGGTCCGACCTTCTGCTATGAAGGCATCTGATAAAGTGGCTGATTAGACAACAATTTAGGGATTTTTATGATTTGAAATAACCACAAAATTGCATTAATCATCAGAAGCTCCAGACTTTGTTTAGAATTTTATTTGTACAACAATGGTGTGGATTAGTATCCAATAATAAATGTATATAAGTGATCTTATATATCATTGTAAAAAGCTCTTTACTCTAACTAAATGCACCTCAAACTCAGATCCCATTTATGAGGTAGACATCAATAATGGTATCTTCCACCCTCTACAAAAATACAAAAAATAATGGAGACGCTTTAAATTACTTTCATCAACGTAAGCAATAAATGATTATCATGGACCTTCTGTACATCACAAATAATAAAATAATTATAGAGTAGACAATATACCGATTTGAGTGCATTTTTTGTATATTTACAAGGAAATGCTGTTTGTTCATTTCGTTGCACTTTGTAAAGTTTTAAAATGTACAAATATTTACAGCTCAACAATAATAATGAACAGCAGTGCATTCAAAGCTAATGTGCATTTAAATATCCTCTCGAGTTTTTTATTCCTTTTTCATATTTCCATCGTCAGAGAAGTCAAATCTCTTGAAGGCATTTCCATCTTCTCCCCTTAGTCTGGTGGATTAATCGTTCAGTCCTTGTGTTCATGCATCTGTGTGGGAACACGGGCCCTGATTCGGGCCTGTTGTGGCCCCAGCTGTGGGAATCAGACCAGAGCGCAGCTGCTCTCCTCACAGCAGCAGGTTACCCTCCGACCTGCAGCCTGCTCCTCGTGTCAGACCGGGCTGGGCTCGTCTGTTCGGTGATAACTGGAGGGAATCGCTCTAAAGCGGATGAGTGGACGTGAGAAAGTCTGAATAAATAGATAGAGCCTCCTGCGCATCCGTTTTGGATACAAAACCAAGGCGCGTAAAGCTCAGCAGACCTCCGTGAGGATTGTTTTTATCTTCAGCCCAACCGGACTTTACGTTTACACCGATTTGTCTTTTGTTCCTGTGTGGATGTGTGTGTGAGAGAGTGTGACGCCCGCTACCTGCAGCCGCACTGCTCCACCACCATCTCCACGTACCGTTTGTACACCACGTTGTTACCCGAGTCCGTGTAGAGGATGCTGATGGGGCTGAGCTTGGTAGGCACGCAGCAGCTCGGAGGGGTACTGTAGGGGTCCACGGAGTTCATGAGAGTCTGGATGGTGGCGTGGTTGGTCGGCTCCAGGTGCGACCTGAGCGGGAAGTCGCACACGCCCTCGCAGTGGTACGCCTCGTAGCCCAGCGGCGCGATGATCCAGTCGTCCCAGCCCAACTCCTTGAAGTTCACGTGCAGCGGCTTTTTGCTGCACCGGGAACTGGATTTCTTTCCGTGTCTCTTTCCGTGCCGGTTGCTCAGCGCCGTCCTCCTCCGCCGCCGGGGCCCCTCTCCTTTAAACCCCCTGGTGCGCGGCTTCTCCTCCTTTTCACCAACCGACCTCCGCGACTTGATCTTCTCCTTCATCTCATTGAACAGGTTCTCCCTCTTCTTGGAGCGGGTGTAGGCCACAAGGATGGCCTTCTCCTGCTGGGTTCGGCCGCTCCGGTCCAGCCCCAGCTGCCTCAGGTCCACCTCGGTCTGACCCTGAGTGACCCTGAGCTGGAAGCAGAGCTGGCGCTGCTGATGATGATGCCGATGTGCTTTAAACGCGTCCCATACGTCCAGAACCTCCCAGCCGGATGTGGCGGAATCCATTGGGTCCAGAGACCTGGAATCCAGCTGTCTGTCAGAGCGGCAGGGGTAGAGCTGGATGTCATAGATCCCCGACCTTTGCGCAGTCCCTTGCGCCTTCCTGAAAATCCGCAGTTCCGCCCCGACCAGCTCCTCTTTCTCTGAAAGGGTTGAGACATCAAACAGATACTTTTGTCTTCGCAGAGGAGAGTGCAAAAGATTGTCTGCAATGATAAAAGAAGAAAATAATTGCAGTCAGATTCGGTTAGGGTGTACAGTGTTCAGGGAGCCCGAGAGGGGGAGGAGGGGGAGTCACATTCTCCCACAGAGGCCTTCTCTCTCTCTCTCCCTCTCTCAAATGCCCACCCTAAACCTGAAGCAAACCACAACTGACAAGTTGTTCCGTTTGGAGTAACTGATGAATGTTTCCCTCTAAACTCTTAAATAAAGTTCGAATTATAAATTAAAAAGTATTTTTTCAATTACATATGATATAAAACTGATTTCATGCAGGAAAAAAAGAACTGTTGAGTTTTATCCCAGCAGTTTTGTGTAAAATGTACATTTGTTAAGACTTTTTCCCACATGAACATTTTGGAACACTATTCTTGTATAATTTGGCCATCCTCAAAGAAAAAACCCGTGCCTATTTGAATCAGAGCAGCGCGTCTGACTGAACACGGTGCTGACAGGCTGATTATTAATTTCCACTTCTTTGGCTGAGCAGAAACAAACGTTTCCTTCTATGTAGACAGAAACTTCTAGATCTGAGCAGCAGCCGGAATTGGAAAAAAGACTGCTTCTTTATGATAACTTTTGCAGAGCTCTGGGGTCCCAAAAAGAAAAGAAAAACAGGAGGCCTATAGTGAAAGGTTCGGCCGGACACAACGGACCAAAGGCGACATGTACAGTCTCCCGAACAATACACAATCCATTCATTATTCTCTGCTGGAGACCCAAAGGCCTGAAAATGTCTCACCCATCAAGCGCACGGGGACAGACACCGGTCCCCGATCACCACAAATATAAATAAAATAAAAAAGCAAACGAGTCTCAGAAAGCACGTGATCATGTTTAGTTGTATTTACAATAAATGTATGGAGAAAACAGTCATCCTTCTTCCTCTCGAGTTTTTGAAAGTTCGTACAGAGAAGCTTGGGAGAAAATGAGGTGAAAACAGTAATATTAATAGCTGGAAGTTTAAAAAATAATAATTTTATTTTTACGGGAAGAATGTTTTTTTTTTACTTTTTTCAAAAGTCTGAAAACCCATCAAATATGTCAACCACGTGCCATTGTATTAAACATAAACAAAAAATGACTGAATGGATGAATAAACAAACAAATAAATAAATAAATAGTGGGTTTTTATTTTATTTTTTTGTGCACGCATAGGCTACGTTTTCTCTGGTCCCTTGTATTCAGTCAGAAGTTGTTTTAATTAAAGTGACTAGGAAACACCCCTGTGACATAATTTCTGGGGGGAAAGTTTTTTTTTTTTATCTGGCTGTCAGATTCCCTCTGAGTCCAACAGTAAAACTAGATTGGAACCTTGTGCTTCTTTTCAGCGACTTTGCGTGTCTGGTTTGCATTACTTTTCCTTCATAAGCCCTCACACAAGTCGAATACATGTTCGCCAAATAATTAACAGTTCTCTGCTCCCATTCTCCTCATTAAAACACTTCCCCGCTTATATTTCAGCTCGTTCTGCCAACGACAACATTCCCTTTGAAATTAACGTGTGGGCACAGAGTGGTGTTTTTATTCCATTTAAAATGAAGTTGTTTTAAATGTTTAAAGGAAAAATACGAATGTTAGTTCACAGCGTGTTGAAGGTACTTGTTTGCTTCATGAACAATTCACGCACGTATCTTTAGGAACAAAAACAAAAGTTTTTAGATTGTGTTTAGTTTCAGTCTGAGTTGTAATCAGTGACCCAAGTGGCAACAATCGGACCAAAATCGTGTGGGTGAACAATGCGCAGCTAATGCAAAACACGCAAAACTTGTAACATTGCGCATCTAGAATCCCGCTTCTTGTCCCTGTGGTGATTTTAAATCTGACGTTTGTTCTGCACGTTTTAGTGCAACACAAATTTTTAAGTCGCTGAGAGGAATCCCAGAAGGCACTGGGGCAGAATGAAGGGGAGGAAAATATTTTCCGTAATTAAAGCGGCGCTAAATGGAGGTTCCGCATTAAAACAAACAACAACAAAAAGATACAAGCGACTTCACGGATAAGAGAATGTGCGTTTTCTTTTCCTTTTCCTTCTTCCCTTGTCGTTTTCTGGGGATGTGCCCATCGTAGCCGAGCTGGGTCATTACGGGAGAATAGACTGTATTTGATATGCTATGACATGAGCACTCAATTAGATCACCGAGTTCAAATAGTTCTGTCATCCGTTCGATGCCAAGCAGCCCTCAGAAGGGTCCAGCTCGGGGTCAGAGCCGGTGACACATCACATCAAATCACAAGAGCGGGCTGGACGTTTACAGCAACCCTCACCCCAAAACCCAGTTAAAGCGAGAGACCGTCTTCTCAAAGCTGATTTTAGTCCAAGAGTTTAGCTTTGTTCATTTCTTTATTTTAAAACCCAATAAAAACAATAATCCAAAACACGAATCTGCAAATTACTAGACTGTGATGTTTACGAGAGTTTAAAACCCAAACAATAGATTTATTTCTCCCTTATGAATTAACTAACCTCCGGTGTGTGTGTGTGTGTGTGTGTGTGTGTGTGTGTGTGTGTGTGTGTGTGTGTGTGTGTGTGTGTGTGTGTGTGTGTGTGTGTGTGTGTGTGTGTGTGTGTGTGTGTGTGTGTGTGTGTGTGTGTGTTTATTCTCGCTCCAATCACTTGGTTACACATGTTAACTGACCCAAACACCTGCTTCTCACACCGACCCGCTCTGCCCCCCGGCTCCCTTTGTCAGCACAAGCTGTCCAAGCCCCGTTCGCCACGATGACAACAGCTTGAATGTTTTAAAAAGTGATGGATTTAGAGTGGGGGTAGTTCAGAGCTTAAACCTATACTTTATGAGAATTTTGAAATTAGTTTAAATAAAATGTCACATAAAAAACAACGTTGAGAAAACGGTTTCATTTTTAGTCTTTTTCTGCTCTAAGTGTTTTACAGCCTTCATTTAGAAATCGCCTCAATTAGTGTGTAACTGTCGTCTCGCCCTGCGGGTTAATTTAAGCGTAATATAACTTACTATTTCCATTTTTCCCAACTGCTAACTGAAACCTTCACATTTAAGCTGAAACAAACTGCGCGTCTTTTGTTCGATTTTGAGCGCTTAAAAGTGCGTCTGCACGCCTGTATTCCTCTCTTAAAGGCGTGCGTAAAAGCCCACCGCGCTGCTCTGTTTTCAATGATTTGCTGGCAAACTTCTGATGAGAGGAAAATGTCAGGAAAATGCTGAGCCAAAGAATTGTGCAAGACTGAAGTCATGTAGTTTCATGCAGCAGCCGGACACCAACCTGTTCCTCTGTCCACAAAACTCGTTATGGTGTTTGCAGATTTAGAGGAGCGGAAAAAGCTTGCGTTTAGTCCCAGTTTCTCCGCTGCGGAGTACGTCCTGTATATGGAGAGCATGTATTCATGCGGCACAATCGCGTCCTTTGGCTCGTGTTTGTGATGTCCTGCTGCCGGCTGCGAATACGTCAATATGTCTTTTAGAAGTTTGGATGACCTTTGCGCGCCCGGATGGGAGATCCTGGCTTCCCTGTTCCTCCTCGGTACAGAGGGAGAGATGAGAGCAGCAGACTGGAAACACGGAATATTCCCAAAGAAAACAAGGAGTAGGCCCAGATAAATCGCAACGAC